ATCCATCCATCCATCCATTTATCTCTTTTTATAAACCCATCCTCAGGTATGACAGTGGCTCAACAGATCGATACCCTCAAGCTAATTCGACAAGGAGTCTATCAGGTTGTCGTGGCAACAAGTGTGGCCGAAGAGGGTCTTGACCTGCCTGCATGTGACCTGGTGGTCCAAATGGATCCTCCCAACTCAGTGACGGCTTTGGTTCAAATACGAGGAAGAGCAAGACAAAAAAGAGCACAGTTTGCTGCTATCTGTAGAGACAAAGACCAGGCGAGAAAAATCAAAGATCTGTTAGCGAGGGAAGAGAATATGCGTCAAGCAGCAGAGATCATCAATGGCCAAAAACTATCAGGTATATACTAGAACTGTCTTCACTCGCCTAACTGGGGCTCCTGTGACGTGGAACATTCTGGCAATTCTCAAAACTGAAGCCCCAAAGGTTGCTTGCAGGTAGAATACGTTTCCTTTACTTTTTCTTTCGAAAATAAGTTTTTAAAAAGCTATTACGCTTGATTCCGATTTTATCTTTGAGTTAGCTAGTTAGTTATTTCAGGGTATCGATAAAATTGAAAGGTTTTTAAAGAATCTTATCAGTCTCATCGAATAACAGAACCTTTGCAACATCACGTAATGGCAGCCATGACAGGGCGAGGAACAACTTCAAAGTAGTCTAATCTCATTTACATAAGAAAGAATTCAGTATCGCAGGGGATAAATACTGTATTGTTGTACCTCTCGTTATGGCTGCCATCATGTGATGTTCCAAAGCCTGTATTGTCTATTAGTGTTATCAGCAAAACCGACTTAATACGAACCAATAGAAAAGCACTTTACTTTATTCCTAAAACTAAACTTTGTGCATATGAGCATATGCATATGAAATATGCGCGTTATAAGTAATAAATTTATTATTATTATTATTATCCAATGGCAACAAAAATGAAAACATCAATTGCCTGGTTTCATATCGAGTGGGAGGACTGGGGAGATCGGACAACTGTTGGCCAGGCTGGATAAAATCGAATAAATTGAATTTTAGAATATGTGGTTGTATTATACCATTTAGCTCGACAAATGCAGCCCGAGTTTGAAGAAATGAGCAAAATCACTGGAAATTGGAAATATTCTTGGCATCCATTCCACGATTGTCAGGTTCTGACCCAGTTCTCCCACGATATCAAACTCGGCAATAACTCGTGAAGTGGGGAGAGTTTTTGTTTGTTCTGCCATGCTGTATCATTTAAGTCAATGTACAAATTTATTACTCCAGCATTTGCAGAGGAATTTGGACCTAGAAATATTGTACATGTAATTTTAAAATAGACAGACATTTGAACAGACATTGGGACAGATATTTGGACAGACATTTGGACAAACATTTGGACAGAACTTGACGCCTATCCTTAGCTAAGGATAGTATCACAGAATTAGAATGAGTTTTAAAGATAGTACTGTACATTTTATAATTTCGAAATAGCAAAAACACATATCTTGATTACGATTATCCAACGTATTGGCAAAATAAATTGAGGTCGAGAAACACTTTTAAGGCGACACTACGACATGAAGACTCTTAGCATATCGTAATCAATATTCGTTCAATCGAAACTCTCTACTGTAAATATTGCCATTATTATCCAAGTTTATTCTTTTTCGTGGTTTTTTAAACCTTAAATGATATGTGTTTCCAAATTTTGACGAATTAAATTCGCATTTTAATCAAAGGAGTTGCAAATACGGGACGTATGTGACGTATTTTTGGTTTATGTGACGTCATCTCCGCCATGTTGCGTGTTCAATATGGCCGCCATGTCTGTGTCATGGAGTTGGAAGATGAGTGGAAATCAAAAAGTAGGAAAAATAATTTTATAAAACATACTCATACTATAATCAATACTATTTTGCTGACTTCGTTTTAGAAAAGAGATTGCGTTTATAGACGCAGCCTTTGTAAAGATTTTTTGACAAAGAACAAATGGAGCAGTTTGAAGATTTACGGCAACACAGCTGCGAGACAGCTGACAAGGAATGTACAGTTTTTTCTATCCAATTTTGATATTTTAATTTCGTTTCAAGGCATACTAACTATCGACGAAATAAATCGGCTGAAACTCTGAAATAATTGTACATTGTTTCCTAAAGTTGGTAGTAGTCTTACGAAGAAATATTTAGAGATTTCTTTCAAAGGTGACTACAAATAATAGGCGAGGGCAGTTGATGCTACCACATAACAAACAAACTGCATGGTAGTGACGTATATTCTGCAAAAAAATAACCAATTTGAGTGGATATGTGCTTGAGCCATGGTCGAAACTTGCTAAAGTCATAAACTTGTAGACTAGGAAAACTCGAGTACGGCAGACGTGCATGTTAGCCTCGTGATGATGCTCTTGTATGCGCCTTTAGGGCTTGTGTCCAGCGGTTATTAGGAGAACGGAAAAGGGAACTATTTGCATTCTTTCGCTCACTGAGACATAGACATCCAAGAAGAATAACATTTTGAAATTCATTTTGAAAAACATTTGGAATTGACTTTATTACCTCGTTAAACGAGAAGAATAGCATGGCGTAGGAATAGGGTCCTGAACGGGAAATGGTCAAAATCCCACYTCCCAAATTTCAAGTTAAAAATTCATTTAAAATTTTGAATCATAAAAATTGAAAAATCCTAAAAATAGTTAAAGAAATTCAATATCGGCAATCATTATTTTTCATTCTTATCAAAGACTAGGTTCTTCAAATCTCATATTTGGTCCCTCTAAGATTAAAAAGATATTCTATATCTAGTTTACCCCTTTCAGGGCCCTTTAGAATTGTTTGTAATTTTAATGTTTTTAAAGTTAAAAAAAAAGATGATATATAGATTGCATGTACTGGTCAGTGGATGATCCAGAGGGGTCAGGCACCCCATTTCTTTGATTCAGTAACATGAAAACTCTGGGTCCATCCTTGTCTTTCAATCTGCAATAAGTATATGAGGCATATGTATTTTAAAATAGTATACACCAAATTTAGAAAGTGTTGTCAGGTTCAAAGGCTCAATCCTCGCAGATAAGACAGAAGGGTGTTCTGGATAAATAATGAAGTTAAGACATGCATATTATAGTTTTTCAGCTCTCGAACATATTGATTCAAATAAGCGAATCTTTGTCATTCTTCGTGCATGTTTCTATATGCAAACACTATAAGCTCCAAATACAAGATATCGATTACCCAGAACACCCTTCGGTCTTTGCTTCGATGATTAGACCTTTTAAACTCGACAACCGGTTTTTTCAATTTGTTGTAGACATGAAAATACGGTTAAATATCTTATAAATACTGTACTCGTGTTTTATATGTGTTTAATAAAGAATGCATGAAGTATTTATAATTATTAAGTATTGAATAAACAACTTTTTGTACAATTAGCATGACATGCATAATTATCATGAGGTCATGTTTGATTTACATTAATTATCATAATTATCATATTGATTATTATGACTATAACTATTTGTTTTTATCAGATACTATGATATAGTTTATCAGTTGTTTTTCTTCAGCTAATTTAGATAATTTGTTGGTATATAAACTGGAGGAAAAACAGTATTTGGATCTTTGATTCTTGGTGTCAAACGAAAAACCTGCAAATAGAGGTTTTGCATCATCACGTGCCAACGCCATAATCCAGCTTGGACTGCCTGTGGGTAGATGGCAGAACAATAAAATCCCTTTGCTCTCGGGAATAGAATTCTTTCTCATGTAAAACGATCGTATTGTTCCTGCCATCTAACATGGCTGCCGTCACGTGGTGGTGCAAAATCTCTATAGGTCACGTCTTTGCTCTCGGGAATAGAATTCTTTCTCATATAAAACGGTTGTATTGTTCCTGCCATCTAACATGGCTGCCGTCACGTGGTGGTGCAAAATCTCTATAGGTCACGTCTGTGATATTGAAATTCTAACACGATACCGAAGCTCTACGGAATACAATGTTCTCATACCCATTAATAATTCGAGAGTTTATTCGTTTAGGATTTGAAAGACTTAAGGGACAGATAAGTCCATGAACTGAATTAATTTTGATCCAGTCCAAGTAGCATCATGTGACCCAAAAAATAGCTCATTGATTGGCTGCGCCTCGGACTGGAACTAATTGCGCGGACTTGAAATCACGTCCAGTCCTCATTGTCGGCTTTGAAATTGATGGTTTCCAACCATTCCCAAGAGAATTAAATAACAAAAGACGCGGCGGCCATGTTGGAGGATATAACAAAAGAATTCATTGACAATACTTTTGTCAAGTTCCTCCAACATGGCCGCCGTGAAAACCATCAATATTACTTCAAAAACTGCATTAAACTTTCAAATGATGAGTTTATAGTGCTTTAGTTTCGATATTACATTGTTGATTAGTGTACTGACTAGCTTTTCTACCAATATCTTCTTATTTTTGCCAAAAGGTAGGAACGTAGAAAGAAATATAATAGTGGTGATCCAAGTGTTTGTACCATACGAAGTGCGACTATAAAGCCTCGTGATTAAGTCTAAATTTGAAAATATCAAACTTGGCCTATGACAGTATTTTTAACTTTATTTATAAAGTAATTTTAGGGCTTCTGCAAAGTACTGGAAAGTGACCTTACCTTCTAGAAAAACACGTTCTAAACTCAAAAATTGTTGGAATTTGTAATCCATTCTAAGCTTACCATGGGCCTTTTTCACGCGGCAGCCATGTTGGTTTGAACAATAGATTCCACCACGCGTAGCCCCGTATTCAGTGTATGAGAAGAAATTTATGCGAGTGAAACAAAGATTTTTAGGCCCCGTCCACACGTATCCGCAATTTTTTTTTCTTTTTTTTGTTTTGTTTTTTGATATGAAAATGTTCGTGTCCACACGCAGCGTATTCGAATTGTTTTCTAATCGTTTTCGCTGTCCACACGTATCCGGAAATTTCTTGATCCGCCATGATGTAAGCCAGTTCCTAGTCCCTTTGACGGATAGTTTTTCTCATTGAGTATGCGCAAAATCGTGTCTACGTCAGCGTATTCCAAAATTTGCGGATACGACCATCCACACGTATCCGTATTCGGAGCGTATTCGAAAATTTCCACTCTAGAGACCGTTTTCGAAAATGTCCGGGTACGGATACAAAAATTTCCGTACACCAGTGGACGCAACCCGTATCCGCAAAAAAAAACAAATTGGGGATACGTGTGGACGGGGCCTTATTCTCATGAGAATAAACATGGTCGCTCCGTAATGAAGGCCCATGGTCCAGAATAGCACTGCACTGGAAAATTGTCATTTTCGTTGATTATTCTTTGAATACCAAGACAATTTGATGATAATAAGAATCTTAAAATAATTTTTTTGAAAAAGGAAAGATCTACTTTTCGGCAATAGTTTTTTTTTAGATATTTTTCAAAAAATTTAACATCTGTAGTAATTATGTGTCCCATGTATCGTTATGTAATAGTCCACTAGTAGTGAAAAGAACTGGTTGTGAAAACTAAAACATTGGCGACTAATTCACTTTTTCAACCTAATTTCAAATTTGTTTTTTATCATGTAACTGGGTATTTGACCAAAAAAGGTTTAGGCTAAAACAGCAGCGCTTTTTCCACGGTTGCAACACAGTTTTGTAGTCTTGTTGTTTTGAATTCTTTAAACAACTGTGGTCTTACCACTCATAATAATCTTTTTATCTCAAGATTTTGTTTACATATTTTTTCCAAAAATTGATCCTACCTGCTTTGCGATATTTATCTTAAGTAACCGTGGAAAACGCTATCAACCATTCTTAGGTTGAGGAGAAAAGAGTGGACTTGGCATTGCAGTGCATTTTAGGGCTGTTGCAATGTTAACTCAACTCTGTTTTCTCCTTAACTTAAGAATGGCCAATAGGACACTTGCATGATGGCGTCATTTACTACCACTACCAGAATCCCTTGCATACTTTATCTTGTCAGTTAATTAGCAGCAATTGTCTTACTGTTCTCATGAGGAAATGCATTTTTGATAGTGGTAGTRAAATGACGACCTCATACACAGGTTTATAGCCCATTATCATCAATATACAAGGCCAAACTATAAACTGCCTCATTGAAACGCGCGCCCAGCGGACGATAATGGATTTTTGGGGGCCGCAAGTACGTTTCCAGCCCGCCAAAGATTATACTCCAAAGGTCTCGCATGGCAACTTTGAAAATTTTTGGTTATTTTTGGCCTGAAAGCATGGACTATAGCCCATGGTTTTGATGGATTTTAGGTGTTTTTCACACCTTTTTCAAAGTCATTAATTATT